CTTAGTAGCTTCAGCTGCTTCATTGCTCGTCTCCTCCATAACTGACACGGTGTCTGATTGGTCACCATCATCCACGAACATGTTGGCTACTGTAGAAGCGGGTTGTTGTTTACAACCATCCCGGAAACGGTTTAGCATCTCTGGTCTTATGAGTTTCTTAGCGCGGTTTTTACTCGCTTTTCCCGGACCCGTGGTCTCCTCATAGCGAAAAATTGTCGGGACTGCATTTGATTTTAGTCTTCGCTTATAACCAGAAGCACCTGTGAGCTCTTTTATCAACCGTGGTCGACTAAATGCCTCAAACGCATCAGGGCTAAAATGGCTAGAGCACAGCCGCGGGTCTTTGGGGAGTTGTACTCGACCGCAAGCATCTTCCCATTTCTTTCTTCTTGTTTTCTCCTGAGGAAAGCTGTGCAGACTTACATCTGTTCCTTTGTTCCTCTTCGACTGGAAATTACAACCGAAAGCTACACAATGCGGCATAGTAGTTCCTCTCCTGCAACAACAGGTTAGCTGAACGAAAGCGCCTGCCCACAACCAATATACATCATCGTCCCAGAATGCATTGCGTGAACAAAAACATGGCCGCTCCCAAGGCTTCAAAATAGTTTTAAACAACAAAGATTTAATGGATAACGAAAACATTTCAGTTATTTTCAACAATGTTTATGTAGTGGAGATAATTTGTAACATATTTAGAGTAACTTGACATAATAGTCGGGATTCCTTTTAAGAACAAAGAAGGAAAAACTGTGAAAGAATTCCTGTTTCTGACCGGAGCTTTCCTCCTGACGCTCAGACGACCACATTTTATTCATACCTGATTTCACTTCAAGCTTCTCTTTCTTTTGATTTATGCAACACAGTACACACAGAGGCCAGCCAAGTGAAATTAACCGTGTGTTGTGACCACATGGGGTAATTGGGATTATTATTATTTTTTGTATTACGTTTAGTTGTTGTCCCTGTGGTTTTCCCTTTAGTTTTTAAAATGGTTTTCTCAGTGTCTCTATAGGCTCGGCTGTCTCTCATTTGGGGAGTTTGTTGAGTTATGATATGATTTTGCTAAGCATTATTTTTGAAGGAGTTCTGTTCAGCTGACCTCTTTTATGGGTCCACTTATTTCTTAAAATAGCTTATTTTTCGGTGATTTTGTATATTGACATTATTTTTGTCATTTTGGGGGTATTGCAAAAGCCACATTTTATAAATTACACCCGTACCTGTGCATCCTTGGCTTGAGGGTCCCTGAAAAGTAAGAAAAAAAAGTAAGAAAAAACAAAACAAAATCCCATGTCACATTAATCTTTTGTTCTTTTTGTGACTGGACATTCAAAGGTGTCTCACATAACAAGAAAAATAACAATGATAAAACTTTCAGATACTTCACCTTGTTTTCTTAACAAGTTGAATGTTTTAAGTCATGTTAATTTACAAATTTGTTAGTTTCAACAAATCTGTCATATTAACCTCACTTTTTTAACCTTTAACCTTTGATGGCTCTAATAGACTGTGTGCGCCTTAGCATTTGCTACTTCCAGTGGGGAAACTCCCGTAGATCACTTCGTTTCCGGTGTGATATTCACGCCTTGTTTATGCTCGGGTTTTCCAAAACAAGTTAACCCAATGGATGAATCACGCAGTGATTTACATATCTCGAGATGTCTTGGGCATTTACCATTTATTTATCTGTAGATGATGTTCATCGACTTGAACTTGATTATTCTACACTAAGAGCAGAACAATTAAAACCATATATTGGATTTGTGAAATGTTTAAATAAAGGTTCATTTAATACATTTTCATGCATCTGGACCACAGTAGAACAGATCTCATACTACTGTCCAATTTTGCTTTATTAGCCGTTCTTGCAACTTTAAACTTTGTGGGGTTTTTCAGTTGTTCTCACTTCCAGCTACTGTACATCTGACCTGCATCCTGTGTAGATACCTTCATAGAGAGGATATTAAGTTAAACTCCTCTGAGATATTAAATTACACATTGTGTGACAGTAGGGGGCCCTGCATTGTTTAGCGTTTTTTTTTTGTTGTTTTTTTGCATTAATGCAATTAATTAAATCTATGAATGAGATCCTTGGAAATTGGTCATAAAACCTGTGCAGAAAGCAAAGAAACACAAGATTAATCCAGGTTAAAAAAGCAGTACAGAGAGGGGGGAAAGCAGTGGTCAGGATTATAAGAGAATATGCATTTGCTGTTTTGGTCAGTATTTTAATATATAGTCAAAGTTAGCAGCCCTTTTGCTTTATATTATCTGCTCTTGATGGATTTAAGCTGTATTCCCTGGACCAGAGATCTGAGGTGACTTCAATCAACAGCTGATGGTTTGTGTTATTGTTGATAGTTAATATCGTCAACTAATAGGGTTCATTTGCTTCAATAAAGTGTATTTCATGTAATCAAATGCTTTTCGTCTGCTTTAAGGTGATCAGAATTTGAAATTTGAGATGCTGTATCATTTAAAGCAAGTTCAAAGAAAGTGCTGAAATCTGTCTTTATTGAAGTTTCACAAATCACAGAAAGTTTTCATAAAATCGTTGTTTTGTTGTGCTTTTGTTCTGCTATCAGTGTGGAATAATCAAGTACAGGTTTGAAATGTCAGGGTTGTGTAGTTTTTGCTCTGCAGCAGATCAAACATGCTTTATCCATTTCCCTAATCAGAAGTTACAAAGGCAAACCAACTTCAGCCTCGTATTAAAATGCACATTTGTGTGGTAATGTTATAAAGCTGTTGTGAAATCTGTTTATGTTGTCCTAGTAAGGCTACCACGAGGGCAGCCACTAGAGGTCGCTAGAAAACCGGTGTGTATATGTGTTTTCCAGAAATTGATGTAGCCACGTACACTGCTGCTACAATTCAAT